TTTTAAAAGCATTAAAAAAAAATACAGAATTTGTGCATGGGAAAAGTGAAGCAGGTAGTTGGTTGATAGTTAGCCTGAATAAATGGTTAACAACACATAGACTCTAGTCTGACTGGGGCCCATGGGTGTCAGCAGCCAAGGTGGTGGAGAGAGTCATCCAAAAGCTTGGTGGTTTGATCCTTAGATTACTCCTGTCTGTGTTTCCTCGCACCCTTGAAGACACTGATTTCTGCTCCCAATGAGCAAACTACAGCCTTGTATAGACACACCACCATTAATGTGTGTGGGGGGTTATTCTGAGACACTGTGCTATACTCTCAGGTTAAAAGCTGTATAGAAATTCAATCCATTTACCATTTATTGTTTGACTGACAGAGGTGGCAGAGTGCCAGGTTGAATAGAGTGCAGGGAGATTTCTTTGCGCTTATCAGCCATGACTTTATGTCAGACATTATGGAAGCTGTCTGGTTTAAACTAACACTTTTCTTGATTTTCTCTAATTTGGACATTTTTTGAAATGTGAGTTATACATGAGGTGAATTTCCTGTCTTCAAATTCACATAGTCAGTACATCTTATTATTAATTTATTCTCTTTTGAACAGAACACTTTCTACAAAACTGAGATAATGTAATCAATCAAAAATAATTAAAATATTAATGATAAGGTGCCTTAATTATTTTAACAAAAACATTTTGTTCAAATAAATGTCATTAATAATAAAATATGTATACTAAATAACAAAATGAATAGAAACCAAAACATAAATACTAAGTACTAAATTTCATATTAACTTTTTATCTAGCACTGTTAGTTAAGGAGTGAGTTAGGATGAAAAAATTCTCCCTTTTCATTTCCCACTTCCCTCTGGAATATAATCCAAAAAGGTTTTGAAAAGCCAGGTAAAAAACAGTTTTGAAGCTTTGCCGTTTCTCTCTGATCAAATTCCTCTTCACCCACATGAGCAACAACAGGGCTGTTTCTTTACTTGTATGCTTCTTGGCAAAGCTTTATAAACACATTAGATTTTTCATTATTTATGATTCTGTGGCAGTTGCATAAAACTTGAAGTGTACCACAAATGGTCCTATGAAGCAAAAAAACACCATGCTGTTCTCTAGGCTCCACAGAATCATTCAAACCCCCCTTACATGTTCTACGTAAAGCTGTAAACATATGGTAGAGTTTTGCATTTTGGGCACGGGATGGAAATTCTTAGCCGCCATCAAAAACACTAACTGTGTAAAAGGCATGATTATTCCATGCAATGGCCCTATGTCATTGTGCATGTCCGCTGGGCGGTATATTTTATTCTTCTGCATCTTCCACTGAAATGTCAGTTCAAGCTTTCCTGTTTAAACAAGTTATTTTGTTCTAATGAGGGGAAAAAAATGAACAGCAGCACACAACTCGTGTGGAGCAGATTAGTCTCTTCCGCACAGAAGGATCCTCTGTCTATAATCTCCAACTCAGATATAAAGGGATTAAGTAAAATGTTTTATTGAATTATTGATGTATTGAATTATTGTAGATCAAGAACAGTAACTGAACTTTGTTCAAGAATATTACAGTGATGTTGGGTCATATAATGATTGTCATTGTAACCCTTATATCAGCAGCGACATTGTATCATGACAAAAACAAAATATTAAATTGGAGGAAATCCAAAACTTGACTTTAAGTAAAGATGTAATTTTGTCTGAAAGTATTTTTCTTATAAATACAAAGTTGATGTAAAGTTGAGGAATATTTTTAAAACTCCGTGAGTTGGAACAGATAGGCTGTGTGTTTGCTGAGCCAACTGAGAAATGAACACACCGCCAATGTTATTGAAAGTACACTGCAAAGACAACTGGTTAACTGGAAATTACATCAGACTTGTTTCAGTGAAAGTAAACATGAAAATGAGTTGTTTTTTTAAATAAAAAATTGTATTCATATTTTACATGTAGTTTTTGGTTATTAACGCAGTGGCTTGCATGCGACACAGACTGTTGGTGTCTATAATGTTTATTTGTATATGTGGCATAATGTTTTGCCTTTCATTTGGCCTTACTGAAGGCCTCTTAAAGCTGATTTAGTGACCTTTACCTCTTTCTCGTTCACTCTTCGTCTGTAAATGCCAGTCACCCTCTGACAGCGTGCTGGTGGAATGTAAACAAACGGCATGGTGAACGAGGTCAGCGTCCTAATGAGGGCCACCAAGGAACGCGGAAGAATAACTGGCTGAGAAGAAAGGAAGCACAATTAGGGATAAAGGTCAGAGGTGAAGATAGCAAGGAAGAAAATCCTCCTGCAGTGTAGAGGAGCCATGTTAGCATGGAGAATTAATCATGATTTTTGATGCTGGTAGTTTGTTTAGAACAGGTAATATTAAAACATTTAGTTCTGTCATAACTATATCAAAATACCACATTTATAGTTTGTAGAGTTGCAGTCAGAGAAAGGGAATACTGGGGATGAACGTGCATGAGCATACTTCCACAAACTGCTGCACTCTGATACTGGCTGTATCGCTGTTGCATGCTGCATTTTTCATCGATGTTGTAGCTTGATGCCGTCCATGTTTCTCTGACTGAGGATGTGATCAAATGTGGTATCTCTTCTGCTCTGCTTCAGCTTACTGAGTCCTCATGACCAGATCACATGAAAAGCAAACAGGAGTTAAATAGCACTTCATACAAGGTTGGCATTTACAGACACTAGCTGATCTGCATTCCAGTTTCATGTATTTTCCATGGACAATTGGTGTACACCCTCTTTCCTGTACGCAGTCAGTGTGATATGTTAATTTCTGCTTTATTTTGGATTTAATGGCCCATTGTTTTTCTCCTGAAATCCACACTGTTACTCTGATTTAATACTTTCTGTTAATGTTCGGAGAAGTGCTAGCTGGTCAAATGGCAATTCATATTCAAGCTGACTTCTGTTAGAAACCTGTATATTTTAGCACGACTCTACCTGGCATGCACACAGGTACATAACTTTCCTGCAGTAGATGAAGCCTTGTAGATATTCCTTCCTGTCCAGTTAAAGGAAGTGAAAGGCAAAACTGCTGTGTCTGGGTTTTTGTTGAGCGCCAAATCTCTCACACCTTCAGTGAGCCCCCACATACACCCCACCCTCACACATCTGAATCCACACAAACACACTTTTCCAAGCAGCGACTGTTTACCCATCTCCAGCCTTGCAGCGTGAGCCAAGCAGTCATGGGTGGGAGGGGTGACATAGCCGAGGATCAGCCTCACGCTCTGCACGTAGCACAACCATTAAAATACTGCTCCCTCTGGAGGGAGGCCAGGAGTCAAAGTTTACAGCAGTTCACTCTTCTCTTCTGATCCAACGCCACCCCTCTGCTTTCTCAGTCTCTGCCCCTCTGCCTCTTTCTCTCTCTCTCTCTTTTTTCACACACACACACACACACACACACACACAAAAGCTTACTGTATAGTACCTTACTGACAGGAAGTCCTTTGTCACTTTGCACACCCCTCACCCGCCTTGATTCCCAGCAGCCACTTCTTAGGAGACCCTGCTTTTTTCTGTTTTTTTCTTCTTTTTTTCCTTTTTTTTTTTTTTTTTAAATCGATAAAGTAGTTGCGTCAGTTCATGCGGCCGGAGCAAAACTCCCCACTCCACCCCCCACCCTCCCCATCTTTATGTTGGAGTTTTTGTTGTTTTTCAGCTTTGAAGGCCCTGATACTGTGCATTCCAGTGGGAGCCTGCATCACTCAAAAGATGTGAGCACAATGTGGACTGACGCAAGCAACTACGGTCAGATGCGCAGATGATTTTTTTTTTTGCTCTCACTGAGTATTGCCAGAGTAGACAGGTTTTTGCACATAAAGATTTTGCAATGCCATTACTGTATGATAAAATAAAATTAACCTTGCATGAAAAAGGCTTCCATACTAAAATAAAATAAATTCTTGAAATCCAAATATTTTGAAATATAGCATGTTTGATTATTTCTCTACACACAAGATCGCTTTCCACAATTCAAACATTGAAAGTGACATTATTTCATTTGGCACAAGACCAAATGAAGGAGTTTAGTCTGCTGAGATTGTTTATAATAATGTTGCCATGGTTTATGTTGATCCAAGTGCATGAAAGAATGTGGAGGAACTTGCCTTTTGTTTGTCATATCACTGCTTAGACACGGTGCATGAGGGCTCAATCTGCCCTCTGTGTTTGTGCACGTTTGCCGCTCACCTCTTCTCCTCTTTCAAGTCAGAAGCATGCAGTTACATGGTGTTGGTTGTAATTTCCAATGCTTATAGTCTGATATCTGTTATACTATATGCAGCCTGATATCGCAGACAGTGTAAGAACTCTGTGTTTTAAGATGATGGAGACAGGTGGATATTTTCCTCTTCAACATTTACAATATGCTCTCCATATAAATCTTATTTCTGAGGAAAAGACTAGTGTTACTGTCACACTCCTCCCAGCAGTGTGCGCGTGTGTGTGTCTTATTCCTGAGGGACTTTCTGTGTTGTATGAGTGCGTTCGCTCGCTGTTTACACCAAGACGTTTACAAGAGCTCATAGGGGTTCACTGCCAACACCCAAGCAGATCATGCGAGTCTTAATAGAGCAGGAAAAGGCAAGGGGAAGTTGATGTGCGGCATGATATCTCCGGTTTATTTTCTCGCTAGTTTAAAGTTTATAATGAGGCAGCTGGGTTGTAAGCAGCCAATGCTTGTGTCAGTCTTGGTGCAGGTGAGGTAAAGACAATACAACGTGGCTGTGCCAAGTCTGATGTATCTGCATCACAGGCCAACAAAGGCAAGCTGAGCTGCTTCCACAGCCCCAGTTCTAACTGACTGGATCCACACCAGCACGGGCATTTGCACTGAACAACAGTTTAATGTAACCTTGACTGTTCCTTCTTTGTCCTCGTACAGTACCTCTGTTGTTCAATGACATATGAGATCTAGGCTTTCGTCACCACATATCAGTTTTTACTAATCATGCTTTTTCATCTTCCTGTCTTCAGGCAATGGTGGCATGTTACCCTGGAAATGGGACAGGATATGTGCGCCATGTGGATAACCCTAACGGCGATGGACGGTGTGTCACATGCATATATTACCTTAATAAAGATTGGAATGCCAAGGTATGTGAGTGATGTGTGGAGGAAACAATGTTAACTGTAAAATGACAGATGATGAGTCTAGGGATGTCACGAGAAGCGATACTTCAGTGCCAAGTCGATGCCAAAATTCTGAAAATGTGATGGTACTTGTTTTCCTACAGTACAGTAGGTACTGTAGATCTCATAGGTACTGGAGATGTAATTCTTCCAGGACTGACAAGGGCAGTATAATAAACCTACAAGTTTCTTTGTCCGATATCCCAAAGAGAAGAAGGCAGGCACAGAAAACATCAATAACAACATGTAGAATGGCACCAGCAAGTGTTGGTGCAGCAACAGGTCCACTACATCTTGTGAAAAGAAAAAAACAAAAACGTGCCAAGACTGGTGTTAGGAGATATTTTGTATTTGAGGTGGATCAGCAAGCACAAGTTATTTGAAATAAAAAGAAACACCTCAAACAAGCACGCTGTGTTTGCAGCAGTCTTTGTCAAATTTGGTTTGAGAATCATAGAATTTCATTGCAAATGGTACTGCTTATCAAATTCCAGGTATCGTGACATCCCTAGATGAGTATACCAATTGGAACTTTACTTATTTCTCTTGTTTCTAATTCTTGTCAAAAACGACTTCAACTGTGATTTGAAATTATCACTGAAATAGCCATCAGAACAAAATGATTTGCAAAAACTCCACGTATCTGGTCTTCATATTCCATATGACAAGTCAGCCCAGTTCTTGCCTCCAATGTAGGGTCATCATCTTCCCTTCCGCTGTATTCCACATCAGCTCCCGTACAGAGTCAGTAGTAGAGGTTACGTGTCGGTACGTGCTGTTCGGCCACTCTCCCCATTTATAATCCCATTAAAACACAGAGATCCTGCTAATCCAGCCACACCCAATCAGAGGGAAGAGCACCCCCATGCTACCTTGCACATATCCATTGTTCCTCCTGCCAGAAATGGGAGTTATGAGCAGACAGAAGAATAAGATTGAGATGTTACTATGTTAGTTCATTACTCACATCTTTGAACAATTACTATATTGATCAAATAAGCATTTCAAACAATTATGGCATATTGGTGCACTTTTGATAAACTATTTGGTTGTGTTTTACTGCAGGAATATTCATAAACGTCAAATATATTCACTTTGAAAAAGCCTACAAACATTTCGCTGACTCACTCAAAACCAAATAAAAGCCGCATTAAACCCAAGCATCTCATTAAATGAGACTGTTTATACCCTGGCAATTTCACCGTTTATTATGGATGTTCATGTTGCGTTGTGTCCGCATTAGGCTACAAAATTTACAGTATGTTTTCCTTGCTGGGCGTAGTAGCTTCAACAACCTGTAACTAGGGCTCCTACGCCGACAGTAACTTGATATAAATTTGAGAGCACAAATTATCTACTGTAATTTGTCTATACACAAATGACATCTGGCAGACTCCGCGTTTTTGTCACAGCATGCATGGATAGACAAAACGTGGCTGCACTGTAATGTGCCTTAAGCAGTCAATGTCATCGGATAAGTGGTTAAGGAACTCACTTCTAATAGACACAGATAAACAGGATGCTGCACGCCAGGAAGTAACAGTAACACTCTTCATAACAGAAAGCAGCCACTGACAGGTAAAAGAAGGGCTTCGATGCTTCTCTGAGGAGCGGGTGATATGACGAGACACATAAGTAGACAGGAGATTGTCTTCCAGACTTCCTCGCATACTTGACCTCCAGACCTGTATATGAAAATTACGTAATTACAGGAAACTCTGGATGCTAGTTTGTGCTAGAATGCAGGCCATGAGTCTGTCCTCTGGCTATAAGCAGAGGATGACAGGCAGGGTTTTTCCTCCGTAGAGAAATTTCGTGCTGCTTTCTGCCTCCCGACAAAATTCTAGGTTTCTCGGTACTCGGTGGATTTAACGTTTGTAACTGCAATTCACACCACTACGGCAAAGTAGTCAGTGCATCAGGCAGAGCCATCCAAAACTGCCAAAGAAGAAAAATATGAATGCGCTGGATTTTTTGCCTGCGTTTTTGCAGCTCTTCCAACAGGTGAATAGGGTTGCCACCCTATTATTGTATTATTATTTTCAAATACGGGATCGTCCCGTATTTGAAAATAAACTGCTGAAACCTCCGCCTCCCGACAAAATTCTAGTACTTTTATTAATCGGTACTCGATGGATTTGAATCACTACGGGACGCAATTTGCATATTTTCGTTCATGTTATGTCCTGAAAGTGCTTTGAATAATGTAATGTCAAGTAAAACCAAACCAATTGCCAATACTACAGATGAATATTATCTCTTTTACATCCAAGCACACCCAGCTTCTTGAAAGGTTCCCCTAAATTAACTTTACATCCCATCGTGTATGTTTTTTTTTTTTTTTTGTAGAAATATCTCAAATCACAAATTATTTTAAAAAGAGAGTTCATGAGGAGGAGAATCGCGAGGACAGGTGAAACAGTGCAGAGTGCAGACATTATTAGTTCTTCTAATATGGGAAAAAAGTTCAAAGTTACTGACGGATACTGTTAATTTGTCAGGACTGACAGTAGGCCTGGTTCTCAGCCACAAGTGGAAGGTGCAGGAGGAGCAGAGGATCAGAGTGTGGGAGAGGAGTTAAGGCAAGAGTACCAAGTCTTTAGGAGTATATTAACGAGTATACTAAAGCTGACGTTTACATGATTTTAACATCAGTTTTTTGTTAATCTTTCTAGATGTTCAAAAAAGCATAGAGTGAGTGGCTTTGACCCGCAGTGGCTGGAGAGATAATGAAAATATAATCATTAGTATAACACTTTAATTGTGTTACACTGTTACGTAACAGAATCACCATAACAAAATGGTGTACTGCATGTCCATTATGTGCCTTGCTGACTAGTTTCAGCCTGTGACTGCTGCTCCTCTTTGTTGATGCAGTTACCATGGTTTTCAGGGTTTCCACCATAAAAGTTGTACAGGCCAGCGGGGAAGGCCCAGTCCCAGAACACGAGTACACAAGGCACATTCTCAATGACAGGCATACAGAGAGGGCTGGTAAAGAGACCAAAACCTTTATGGTGGCGGCCCACTGCGATTTGTCCTGATATGCCCAATGTCAGCTCCGACTGTAGCTTTTTTTTGCTCTCACGGCGTTACAGAGGACAGGGTGCTCACCAGTCAACAGATGTTGCTGGTGAACTTTCCAACCATTAAGTTAAGGTTACGAATTGAACCACCACCCCAAATTCCCTGTTGCTTAGGCCTGTCTGGGGGTCACCTTGGAATACACTAGCAGAAACCCTGGTTTTCAAGACCATACAGTAGGTTTCATTTTTGACCAGTGTACCTGCAAATTGGGCACAAATGACTTGGAATTTGTTTGGAATATATTAGTTGTTATGTTGCTATGAAAATGGTGGTGGTGGTGTTACCACACCACACCTTTTTAGCACCAGCAGATTCTGATAAATGGGGTTCAGCCTAACCTGTGCCCCACTATTACCTATCCTGTGTATTACCTACCACTTACTCAACACGATCAGTTTTCTTCTTGCTTATTTACCTAATCTTTTCCTGGATCTAATTTTGACAATGTACGTCAGGTGGCTGCCCTTAAGTTAATCATCTATCACCATTGTTACATGATTTATTTTATGTTTAGGCAGTTCAGTTCTGTTCAGGAACTGCTTCGGACGTGTAAAGTATTAGAATCTGTTCTCTGATTGGCTGTTTTATTAGGCGTGTCATGAGCTGTCTGTTATAGAATGTTGTTGCCTGGATACCGAAGTTCTATGAGAGTATGACATGGCTTTGGAATGTTTAGGTTCAGTTGTTCTGGTTATTTATTGCCAATTTTCAACACCATTTTTCTGCTTCCCTTCTATACATCTATACATTTGTTACATTGTGTACTTCAGTTATGCATGCATGACCAGTCACTTCTTTTATATGTTTCCTGTGCACCCATGTGACAGAAGAAAAGAAAAGTAACAAGCCCCACCGGTGGGAGGAAAAATGTACAGGCAAGCAAAAATCAAAGTGGAAGGAAATGAGTCAGCCACTGGAAATACTATGAGTTATGTTACAAGTACAGAGTCTGTGCAAAGTATGCTTTAATATTTTACAGTGCACCCCAAAATAAATTAATATATATGGACCATGATAACAGAATGCCTCTGTAACTGCTGCCATTTTTAGAAGCACTGCACTGAATAAAAGTGGATTAAAATACTATACGTTAAGATGCAAACGTGCAGTGCAGTAACCTTTTTGCTGCACCAACATGTATCTATCCATTTTCTAAACTGCTTATCCTGTTCAGGGTTGCAGAGAATAGAACTGCATCCCAGCATGCAATGGTCAAGAGGCAAGGAGAAGTCACCATTCTATCACAGCTGACAACTTCTGCAGAGACATACAGACACATACACACCACTCTTTATTTCATGCATTAATAGTCTTGATTAGTAAGCATCATCACTCCTCTCAGCAAAAGCTGGTTTACAACAAACTTTGTTGCAACTAATAAACAGTCATCCTCGCGCTGTGTCTGTGGGTACACCATGTGACTTCCTTTTGTAAAAAGTGCTCTCAGCAGGCATGGTGTTGTCAGGTTTTGGCAACATTTTATTTGTTTAAGTTGGACAGGGTATCAGACATGAGAAAAAGGTTTTGTTCCATCTGCTGTTTCCACCACCCTCCTGAAGAAAACTCATAAATAATTTTGATATTGATCTTTTCATAACTTTTTACCATCCACTGTTGTGTGTGTGTGTGTGTGTGTGTGTGTGTGTGTGTGTGTGTGTGTGGATGGTAGCACTTTGTAGAACTTTCACAGACTACTTGTAAATAAGTTAAGTTACATGAATGTGGTTTTATTTATATAGGCCAAAATCACAAATTATTTTTAAAAAGAAAAGCCAGTAATAGAAATGATATGGTACAATGCAGGTTTTCAGATCTGGGTGATTTGGCAACGCTTGTGTTCACCATAGTAACAGCCAGTGCAGTTTAATACTACAGCACACACTTTGTGAGTAGCTACTTTCTCCGAAATACAACAGGAGAGCAACTGTGTGTCCGTTTACAGTGCAGCCAAACAAAGACGTGTTGCTTTAAAAGTCAGACGGTAAAAATTGCAAGTGCGACCTGATTTCATGTTGCGACAATACAAGTTCCATTACTCTCTGCAATGTTTAAAACCGATGTGCCGACAAAAAAAGAGTTGATCACAATCAGCACTAGCATTGTGACAAATGTGTCGCGTTTCCAGTGGCTTCTTCACTATAAAAGTTTACATTACATTGTTTTTTAATTTCATCTAGCTCTCATACAGCTGTAGGAGAGTGAACGGTAAACAGTGAGGTTGATATTGAAAAAATAGCATTAAAAACAGTATCTCTGGATTACATGCATGTCTTGTTTCCTGTGAATCCCACAGGATTCTACAAATGGACTCTACAAACTATAATATAGGGAATAAATTAATAGGCCTACATTGAGTTCAATTTCAAGGGTTAAAAAGAAACACATTGGCATATCCATAGAAATCTGTGGAGTGGATTTTGGTTATGTGGGATATACCGCAAATTTTATATTAATGTGTATATCCAGGGCAGAGTCTTAAATGAGTATACTGACTAGACTATAGATCAGAAGAATACTGCACTCTAAAGCATTTTTACTTTATTGAATTTTACAACCATTGTGCTTTTTAAGAACATCACATCTTTGGGTTTTATATGTTCTCATTCAACATCAGTCCAGTTCAGCTTCATGTGCAGTGGGGTCCAAAAGTCTGAGACCGCTTTCCCATTTGGTCTCAGACTTTTGGACTCCACTGTAGGTCAGAAGGTCATGTCCTGCAGGTGAGAGTCAACATGTATTCACTTTAATCCATACAACATAGTTTTCAGGCCTGCCAACTTAATGTTACCACCAGCTTGGCTATACATGCAGTTAAACAATTGTTAACGTCTGTGGTCCTCGAGCTGTGTATGTGTTGCAGGAAAAAAAGACAATTTCTCCTGTCTTCTTTGACCCTATTGTGCTTTTTTTAGTTTAGTCACACCACCGGCATTCCCCCTCATTCAAAGTAGTATAAATGGGAATAGCATTATATCTCCGACAAAGGGTGTGAACCTTTTTGCACTGCTAGTTTGCGTGTGAAGAGAGGGGCCTATCATATCAGCTGTGTGAGAGTTAAAGCGGCACGCTTACAGCAATCTGCTTTTTCACTCTCCAGGTCCTTTATCCAGCCAGAGCAGTTTTCCTGTGGGTTATTCTTCCTATCCCTCCACAGGAAAGCCGTCCCCCACTGCTGCTTCCTATCCTGAGCTTTCCTCCTAGCCCTTGGAGTTGGACAACCCTTTTCCTTTAACATTGTCGTCCTATGTTGATAATTTAACAAGCTTCACGTATTGGTTATATTTGAGTGTCTTTTATATATGAATAATATATGCAGTTTTTGGGGGTCTCCTTTCCCCGAATGTTTACCTTTTTTAATGTGGATTAACTAGATAGGAATCAAATCCAGAAATATGATCAGTGCAGAGGCTTCACTTGGTGTTTGCTTCCTCCAGTCTCTCTTTACTTCCTGCTATTGCTTTGTCCTGATTTGTATACATAACCGGGTTGTTTCTTCTTGTCCTGCTCTTCCAGGAACATGGTGGCCTTCTTCGAATCTTCCCAGAAGGAAAGGCCCAGTTTGCCGACATAGAGCCCAAATTTGACCGTCTGCTGCTGTTCTGGTCAGACAGACGGAACCCTCACGAGGTTCAGCCCGCCTTCGCCACCAGGTCAGCATCCAAGTCTGTCCACTGCTCACACTCAGACAATCCAGTCTGTTTTTGTAGTGATTCACCGCTCTAATCCTGTCTCTGCAGGTATGCCATCACAGTGTGGTATTTTGACGCAGACGAGCGAGCCAGAGCTAAAGAAAAGTACTTAACAGGTAGGATTTGTTAGACAAACCACACAATCCTATGTCTGTTGTTTCAGCCCTTCTGTGCTCTTTTACATTATCTCTCGTGTTTCTGTTTCCTGTGCAGGTGCAGGAGAAAAAGGAGTAAAGGTTGAACTCGGCAAACCATCAGATCCCAGCTAGTGGGAACCATGCGTTTCCTTAAAACAGCCATTAAGTGCTCTGTCCTAAGAAAGTGGCCTATAGAGAGCGTGTGTGTGTGTTTTACAAGGCGAAACAGCAGACTTTTGATTGAGTGGGTGGAAGATCCATACTCATGGAGACAAAACAAGCAAATACACAGTGATTTCTCTTCATTTTCCGCAAACCTGGGCAACCCAGCTGACCTTGAATGTCATGACATTGTACTGAAAGGGATTGTGCTTTTTTTTTTTTTCTTTTTTTTGTGTCTTTTCACCTCTTCGGTGGAGAACGCATATGTTATAGCTGACATTTTCAGAACATCACTTCAAACAGGAATTAAGCTCAGAGAGAATCTACATCTTTTGCATATAGGTTTTTGCAGTTAATTCCTTAAAGGTACAGTGTTCTGCATATGCTTATGTGTTATGCTTTTCACATGGAATCAGCTGTTATAAGCTACTGTATGGCAAAATGTGCTTGAGTTTGCAATAATATGAGGAATGATCTGAATTAAAAACACCCTTTTTCTGACAGAACTTCATTGGTCTTAGTTTGAGTTCATTCATTTGCAGCACAGTAGATGCTGCCTGTGTCATTTGTTATCTTGCTGTCCCCCCACACTTATACATCAACTGTTTGATTAGGAACAAGTTGACAATAAGCAAACATTGATCTGTGAGTTGTGGCACTCTGTTTACTACTGCCTTGCCTGCCCTCCTGTCTGCACTACACACAGCTCCATGCTGCCCTCTGTAGGAAACCCACTGTGTAGTGCACCTAGTATTATGTCATTTTGTGGATGTATGGATAAATCCATCAACAAACTTTGTTTTTTTTTTCCTGACCATTATTAACTGCAGTGATCACAGTATATCTGTGATCATTATTCCTAAAACAGAACTAAAAATAAGACTATGCGACTGAAATATATTAGCTGCACTATTTCATCAATGATTAAAAAGTCTTTATGTTGATCAAATGGTAAATGATCATATAAGTGGGTTAAAGTTGATTTTTCTAAAGTCATTTACTATTCTAGACTGTCTACCAGAGTTGCCTATTTTGTTTTCAGTTTTTAATTTATAAGTGGATTTATATTTCCACTTTTTTCATTAGATCAGAAAAACAAATCAGTGCTCCAATAAAATTGATATTATACAACCAATACAGACATTTTTCAAGACAATCTCTTAACCTCAGTCTCACAAATACACAGTGACAATGTTTCCTGTTTTGTAAATGAACAACCAGTTACTTGCCAAACTTGAAAATATGCTGTAAATTTCCATGGCACATAATGTCATCATGTATTTAGTGCTTTTAGAATGCAACCATCTCTGAAAACAGCTCATCAATAAAATGGGGAGAAGTGAGAAATGTATCCAGCCTGCTGGTCTTTTTGTTCTGATACATGTTCCTTTGTCAGAGGGATGTTTGTGCTTTTAATGTCCAACTCTCAACCAGTTTCAGGTGTCCTCCATTACAACCAGTGGGTTTAAGTCAGTGCAAGGGAAATAACCAGCCAGCTCCAGGTCACTACTTGATTGGAAAGTATATCTTTTTTCATTCATCTCCTGTAAGTTCATCTGGCTGTGTTCAAAGATAAAGTACCATCAGGGCCTTTGTTTATTATACAGTAGTCTTTATTACTGGTCAGTAAGCATTTTATTATAGTGTAATTATGTCATTTGTTTTATTTAAACCTATCTGATGTAATTCAGGATCCAAAGATTTATTTGTCTCAAACACAAGTAATATGTGTAGTGAAATGCAATGTGCAAGAAGAGTGTGAAAAATAAAGATTAGAAAAACTTTGGGAATCATGTCAAGGTGAAGTATTACTTCAGAGTCAACACCTCTGAGCTTTGGCATTAAGAATTGTTACTAAATTTCTCTCCCAAATGAGCCAGTTTTGATTATAAATATATGAACAATACAAAAATGTTGATGGTCACATTTGTTGATCTTTGACTCACTACAGAACACATGCTAATGAAGTCAATGCTGAACAATTTAAAAATATATATATTTTAAAAATATTTTTAAAAATTCTGAAACTGTCAATTAACCCTTTGTTAATGTGCAGCGGTTTCTAAAACATGAACAAGCTACTGTCAATGTATCATTGAAGTATCAGTCAGTTATTAAAGATAAAGTGCATTTTTCACAGCATTTAAACATTTTTAATATGAATTAAATGAATATCTCTTCTATATAAACAATCTGTATGAAAAAGAACATGTTCATAGACGTAAAATAGTAATACAGTACATATTACAAAAGGTCAGGAAATATATTAAGTAGTATTCAATATAAACTATACAATGAAAAATGTTTAAGATCAGTCAAAATTAGATCATACTTTGTACAAGGAGTGTGCAAAATTAATGTCCCATCAGTGGACCTTCATATAATGGCAAAGAGAAAAGTCTGTTAGTTCTTCTTCTCTAGACAAAATACAAAAGTGAATGTATGAAGTTGAGGGCGACTTTCCGCCCCATGTGCCTCGGTCAGTAAGAGACTGTGCAAAAATATACAAATAAAAAAAAACAAAACAAAGGTCAGCAGGAGTCACTGAGCTCCAGTCAGTAATGGCTGAGCTCCTCTGGAGGAGGAGGGAGGTGGTAGCTGTCATCCCCTCCGATGTAGGCACTGATGCCGCTGCTTTGGCTCCCCCACTCGTAACTGTCAGCAGCCAGACTGGACAATCGTAAAAACAAACATCCGTTAAACTATGCTATTTGACCTCTCGACCTTTTGCCCTATTCATAGTTCATGGACAGTGTTGCGCTTTGTTTATTTTACCTGGCTTGGATGTTCTGAGGCATGACGCTCCATGCTAGATCATCATCACTGTCATAACGCCGCGGGTTATCAAAAAAATAAGCCCTAGAGGAGAAGACATGACCAGGAAGCCCAGAGCCACTCTGCAGGACGAGCCGGACACAAACATGATAACAAACATTAGATGTCATAACGACCAATAATGGTAACTGCTTGTATTATAAAACTTTTTGAAGTATTTCACATCATTTGTTTACAGTTTAGAGCAGTGGTTCCCAACCTGTTTGCCTTAAATAAAGCAAGCCCTCGTCACATGTTGCATATGTCTGTGACTTGTGAGCAGTTCCTGCAAAGACTGATTTCCACTTTAGATTGTTGAAATGACAAAACTAAATCCCAGTAAGTTTTATTTGCTTTCCTATAAATCCTCTCGTGACCCCTCAGATTTGTCCTGTGACCCCTGGAAGGATTAAGTGACCAAGTGACCCCCACGTTGGGAACCGCTGGCTCAGGGTAATTGCTGGCTCACCCTGTCTAGGTTCGGCTGCCGAACTCTGAAGAAGAAAACCACAAGAGAGGTGGGGAGCAGTTCCCACACAAACAAAATCACTCCAAAGACGATGTAGCCAGCGTTGCCCAGAGTCGACTGTAAATCTGCCTGAAAGAAAACATACCACATAACTGTACAGTGCAGTGCTACAACAGCCCACTATTTTACCTTAATGCCAATAATCACAAGACAAATAACCAAATATTTTCCTCCATAAAAACTACAACTCACATAAATTTGGTTCTTATTACAAAGCTGTTTCATGACAAAAGTGCCACGTGTAAAGAGTTTACACGGTGGGTCGATCAGATCTGACTTTTTCATATCAATAATCAACATATTTAAAGGAATAGTTGGACATCTTGGGAAAGGTTGTAAGGTTACTTACATAGACTTACATGAGAAGATTGATTCCACTCTCATATCAGTACTGTAAAAATTAAGCTAAGCTAAGCTAATTAACTGCAGCTTCATATTCAGTGTATTTTCCCATCTGACTCTCGACATAGAAGCAAATATGTGTATTTCGAACTAAAATGTCCAACTATTCCTTTAAGGCATTATGACGTCTTCGGTGGCTCACCTGGTCTGACACGTTGTACCAGTCGTAGTCAAAGGAGTTAATGCTCTTGTTAGAGAGTCCCAGGACGACCAGGTTGTAGCAGGCCCTGGATGAGTACAGGAGGATGACGATGGCTCCTATTACGGTCACCTGGCAAACCGACGTCCCCTGAACAGAGTTTCATTAAGAAAAATTTACAATTTATTGACTGCGATGAATCTTAAAGAAAAAAGAGACATACTCTGATTAAGACATTTGTGAAATCATATAAAACTACATGAAAACTGAAAGATTTTTGAAAGAAATTAAGCTTGAGTTTCAAGTAAGACTTTATACCTCAGTCTTTTGTCAGTGCTAAAGAACATACGTAAAAAATAGTGACCCAACTGAACTGTTTTAAGCTTGTGAACGCACCACAATACACCCAGTCATGCATAGCGAGAGACAACTGTGTTGCTAGGGAACAAGCATTATGTACAATGCATAAATGATGGGGTGAAGTGCATTTTCACACAAGGGTGCTATATGCAACACATAATACCTTTTGATGCCAGTTTAAAAAAATACTATTAAAAAAGCCAATCAGCTTCTACTGTTCGTATTTCATTTCTACCGCTTTTTCTTCATGTTTCTCTCTCAGTGCCACACAGGACATGGACGCATTTCTCACCTTGGATTCCAGGTAGATGTTGGCCAGTGACATCTTAGCGATCTTGTAAAGACACAGCGAGAGCGAGACGGCACACAGGACAAACAGCGTGTCGTTGATTGCGACCCTCACGAGCACAATGGTGTGGGCCTCTGTGGAGGACAACCTCACCAGCAGGGCACAAACCAAATTCACGACTAAAAACACCAGGCTGATGAACAGGAAGAGCAGGTACAGTGGCAGCCTGTGGGTCAGCACACAAAGAGAGAGAAACATATTATTCACATTCATAACTGCTATAGACATTTTATCTTTTTTTAATCACTTTAGCCAAGACAGATGATGTCATTTTTTTGCCAAATTAATAGGAAAATATATTTTACTAATTCTTCCACTAAAGATCACGGCTTGGTCTTACCTGTATCTTAAAAGCTCTGGTGCATATTTTGACTTTGCCTTGAAAACAACCTGTGAAACACAAAAAAAAACCCTGCATCATGCAAATGCATCATGCTGTTCTGGTCACCCATTTTCACTTCTGTATTTTTTTTCTTCTCAGAAACAAGATATTATGTTGAAACAGGAACCACACAGTAGAAAAGCAGAGTTTTGATCCTCAGATACATAGCAGTCTCACAGGACTACATGTAACACTTTGTGCCACACCATCAACTGTGACTCAAATCAGCACCAGAGGCTTATGCTAAAAATAAGCTTTAAGCACACGCCAGAGAAGCTATTATTTGATATTTGGATTATGTAAGGAGATGAAGGACTGATTCACTGCATCACACTGTGTAGCTGATCTGAAAGAGTTACACTGATAGCAACAGGTAACATTTAGTGAACAGCTCTTAGAGAGTCTTTGCTATCAGATGATGTTATTATTAGTGATTGAGTGTTCTTTCAACTGTAATCAATGCAGCAGATAGGCTACTAGGAAAAATCAGTGCTATCATCTATTAACTTCCAGTGGAATTGTATTATGACCATATTATCGGATTAACTAAAATATATATAACTGTAGTTAAAAAGTAACAAAATTTTACTTTATTTTACACATTTTTAGACTGAAACACAATTATTGCTTTGAACATCAATGTTAAGATTTTATGTATAATTTTTTTGCAATATGTATCTGTATTAGAAAACTATTCAGATTTAAAACTAAAATCACTACACAATTGGCCAACTGACATAAAATCAGAGAGATTCAATGCGCAATAATACAAAACAAAAGAAAAAAAGAAATTACTCCATAGATAAAGTCAGCAACATTGGTTATGGGAACCTGTGATGGACATTTTTCTCTTTTTACTGACATTTTATAGCCCAAATCATTAATCAGTAAATCGAAAAGGTACATATCCAAAGATTTATTAGTAATCAAAATAAGTTGCACCTGTATTCTTTTGTGATATTGACTTCAACCATTTACCCAGTGCTAGTTTCATGGCTCTACAAATGGAAATGTGGTCCACAGTGAAGCAACACAATTTTTAAAGCTGTAAATTTATTTGCGCTATCTCTTAACAATCTGTACTGTGCTGTCTCATTTTATTTTTCTAAACCATTTTATATTTTGCCCACTGCCTAAAGGTTTTAGCCTTTAGTTCACAAGAGGGCTGAGTATGTTTAAAGATCCCCTACAGACAAGTATATTATATATGTATTTGCTCTAATAATTCAAAGCTTTAACTGTGTCCAGCCACAGTTTGCCTCCAAACCACTGGTAGGTTGAGCACTGGGAAACTTTCTCCCTCCAGCAGCCTTTCAGAGTCAATCATACATTGAAATAACATACATAAAATACTGCCCTCACATTACTAAGACGCAGGTGCAGAGTACAGGACAGACTGTTTACATGACAACCTGTGACAGAGTGAACAGCACTGTAGTCAGCGAACTCACCTGTGCAAAGTAAAGGTTCATGAGGCTGAGCGTGAAGAACTGGAGGCAGACAGGGAAACAGTAGAGCAGCCAGAAGGGAAAGGGCCCCAGAGTGTTGGCCGTGACAAAGTTCTTGAAGTAGAAGGAGAAGAGCACGGTGCGCAGGGCCGACCACAGCAGGCACAGGAACAGGAACACCGTCTGGTAGCTGAAGCGCTTGTGTCGGTACCGCAGGACCAGCCAGAGCTGCACGTAGATGAAGATGAACAGGAGGGAGTAGAAGACGGTGTAGACGACCGTCAGGCCCAAAGTGACGTACGGAGGAACGGCCGGGCTCAGAGTGGGCAGAGGCAGAGACTTGTCCATCGGCGACGGCTCCTTCTCCTCCACCAGGGCCTCCATGACCTGTTCTCCCCTGGCCGGGAGCAGGAGCGGGGTGGAGCGGAGGGGCCTCTGCCGGTGTTCACCGGCGCCTCTCGGCCCTCACGCACGGCACAGGAGAAGTGAGAACGGGAAAAAGTAAGGCTGGGGAATGGTGCTGTCAGGAAGAGGGAGAAAATAAAATGAGGGGGAAGAGAAGAAGGCGAACTTCCTGCTGCAGAGCCAGAGACAGCCAGAGAGCGAGGCACATGATCAGTGATGAGAATGAGCCGTTTGTCAGGGCCAGCAGCGGGCAGGAAGCTGCAAAGAGCTGCAGCCAGGAGCTCAGAGAGAGGACCAGCACCCGCCCCCTCCAACCCCCCCGCGCTCATTACGTGACGCTACGCATCAGCTGACGCACGCTACTGTACCTTTAACCCTGTGAGGGGGCTTCCCACCACCGCGCTGAACCCCAGGAGAGCAGCTCAGAGCTGTTATATATATATAATATATATATATATTTATACCTATATTTAATATATATATTATATATAGCTATATTATATATATATATACACTACCGGTCAAAAGTTTTAGAACACCCTAATTTTTCCAGTTATTTATTGCAATTCAATTCGTGCAAGTCCAATGAATAGCTTGAAATGGTACAAAGGTAAGTACTGAACAGCCAGAGGTTAAAAAAAAAGGTTTGGTTACCCAAACTGAAAAATAATGTTACATTTCAGAATTATACAAAAAGGCCTTTTTCAGGGAACACGAAAGTGGGTTAACAATTCTGCAGCAATGAAGGTTGAATCAGCCTTGAAAGCTGGTGCTACTAATTTCCTACAGGTGTTCCAACTTTTCTGACTACATACAACCCCCTCTGTCTGCATAAAAGCAGTGTTGGAACACACTGTGGTACCAGACCCTCATGAGCATCAGGTGAACAGTATTGTACTTCAGAAAGTAGTGTGTTGCTACAAAAATGGCGAGAAAAAGGCAATTAACAATGGAAGAGAGACAGACCATCATAACACTTAAAAATGTAGGTCTTTCCTACATGGAAATTGCAAAGAAAGTCAAGTGTCAGTGAGTACAGTTTTTCTTCCATCAAAAGGCACTCAGAAACTTGGGGAAACTCTGACAGGAGTGGTCTGGCAGACCCAAAGCCACAAATGAATCAGAGAACAAGTTTCTGAGAGTTAATAAGCTTGCGTGAAGGCGGCTCAAAGGACAACAGATTCAAGCACAGCTTAATAGTGGTCGTAGTAAGAGCAAGTCTCAGTTTCAACTGTGAAGAGAAGACTTCGAGCTGCAGGTTTGACAGGACCAGTTGCAGCAAGAAAGCCATTGCTAAGATGTCAGAATAAGACAAAGAGGCTCTCCTGGGCCACGAAATGCTGCCTTGGACTACTGAAGACTGGAGAAGGTATTATGGACTGATGAATCAAAATTTCAAATCTTCGGTTCATCACGCAGGATCTTTGTACGCCGTGAGTAGGCGAGGATGGTTCCACAGTGTGTGGACATCAACTGTCAAACATGGAGGAGGAGTGTGATGGTCTGGGGCTGTTTTGCTGGATCCAGGGTCGGTGACTTGTACAGAGTGAGCGGCACCCTGAACTAATACGGCTACCACAGCATTCTGCAGCGCCATGCAATACCTCTGGTATGCGCCTAGTTGGTCAGAGGTTTCATCCTACAGCAAGATAATGACCCAAAACACAAGTCCAAGCTATGCCAAAACTACTCAGGAAAAAAGGACAAGATGGTAAGCTTGAAAACATGGAGTGACCAGCACAGTCTCCAGACTTAAACCCTATCGAGCTGGTTTGGGATGAACTGGACAGAAGAGTGAAAGCCAAGCAACCTACAAGTGCCACACTTTATGGGAACTTCTGAAACAGACTTGGGAAGAACTTTCTGAAGAATATTTGATTTCTATTGTAGAAAAGAATGCCACAGCGAGTGTGTTCAGCTGTTATATCTGCCAAAAGTGGCTACTTGATGAGTCAAAATATTAGAATACATTTTTGGTCTATAAATTGATTATTTTTTCAACTCAAATTGCTTATTTGTTCTATTCTTTCATTTCAGAGTGCAATGACACAATAAACTGAATAATTTTCATAGAAAAACTGGAAAAATGTGGTGTTCTAAAACTTTTGACCGTAGTGTATATTATATATATATATATATATATATATATACGGTTAAATGCATTAAGAATATGCAGCATGTGAGCATGATATGAACTGAAATACTATGTTAAAACTAGGACAATACGGACAATGAATAAGATAGATACTAAACTATGCTTAGTTTCATACATGCAAGCACTGATGGCAAGTCCTGTAGTCATGATGTTTTTTGTTCTGATTACTACTTCATATTGTTTATTTTACCCTCACTATTTCACGTTCTTAAAAAATACTTTTTGTTATTTTGTTAAGTAATCAAATAACCAAATACATTAACATCTATGGTGTAAACGTATTTACTGCCTTAGCCACGTAAGTCTAATATGAACTGAAATATGATATTAAAACTAGAGATAATGAGAAATTAGCTTTTTGCACAGTCTTTAATCATATCATTTATACATAAGAATTACTGAAATTGTATTTAAATTTAACTTTTGACACAGGGCTCCTCTAAAGACGGGGCCTCCAATTCAAAATGCAGAAGCCAGTTTAAGGCTCTCACTATTTCAGTTTATGTGCTGTAGATCATTTAATCAAACTACCACAGAGTAATTACCACAGAGTGAACCTGGCACCATTGAGGCCCCTGAGACAGATCCTAAGATTGTCTGACTGTAAATCAGTCTTTCATTAGACCCTCTATATCTGGGAAACACCCGTGTCTTTCAAAGTTCAGTCACAGCCCTATTTTTTAATGCTTTACATTAAAAATTCTAATCTCTGGCCAAGCTGAAATGATTCTGATGACATTTCAGGGTTATTTATCAGACATAAGGAAGCTTCTTCAGGGCCACAGAAGACAATATACAGTTGTTTGCACAGGTAAACTGATCTTCAAGTGTAAAATCACTGGAGTTCCCCTTTAATTCCAACCAAGGGTACTTGAGATCTGGTCAGAACAGGCTACCAGAATTAGGTTTACGACCCAGAACAGAAACTTATCTAATCTGCACACAACCTCCGTGAGGTTTGTTATGGTTGGTGGGTTTTTTTGTTTCACAGGACTTGGGCATGTGAACATGAGGAGGGCCAAGGATGGAGGTCACTCTAACTCACCTCTGACCACTGCGATACATTAATCTTTTCTCACACAGGGACACTGCCACCCAGGCACCACACAAAACAGGAAGCTGTCAGTCACAGGACTTCCCTCTTAGCTCTCAACTTCTCTATCCACCGTATCACAGTTATAATAATGTGTTTGGACCTTGTAAGTGTTAGGTGTGGAAATGAATACAGATATGTTATCATCTATATTGTTTCCCATATTTATTTTAACTACACCCTATAAGTAAGCTATAATAAATCTGAAGACTTGACCAAATGCCTGTGTACTGATTCAACATCTTTTTCACATTAAGAAGCATTTGATTTAGATTTAGCCAATGAATGAAAGAATGAATATGTCACAAATGATTTAAAGTCTTGTTTGTACGCAGAGTTCCCTTCGCCTGGCCCTTTAAACCGCCCATGTCTACGGTTGTGTCAGTGAATAAAGGAGAATAATAACAGAGTGGTGACGAAATCACACTTCAGTCTGATCACCAGGCTTCAGTTTCCTGCAACACAGACATCAGATCACAGTCAGCTGGTTCCCAAGCAACACAGTCGGAGAAAATAGACTCAGACAGACACCAGCAAGTCACAGCTGACATCACTGCCCCAGGGTAAATATCCCATCAGTCACCAAAAGTCCAACAAAGACCCAGTCTGTATTTAACTGTAGTGAATATCAACAGTGTTACAAATTAGTATGCATATACCTTTTCTGTTTATGTAAAATTTTACACCTCTTGACTTAGCATTCTTTAAAAAATATATCTTGGCACATTTTGTCAAGTGATAAAATAAACAAATACATATATGATGTCAATGTACACACGGTATGCACATCATCTTATATCAGTCTCTGAAAACCTCTATGGAGAGTATACAGTATTCAGACACCACATGCAAGCCTCACAAAATGACCGGAAGATGGCGCCTTAGAGCTGTATATGTGCAAATGGAGAGGCTGGGAGGGATGCTGATGCAATAATGGCCTCCTTGTGAAACACTGTTGTATCAATTTAAACATTTGAAATCAGTTTATGGAGTTTCTTATTTTTTTATTTATAAATGTCTCAAGATGACTCCAGATTTAGGAAGCATCTGGATTGGTGGTTATCTGATTTTGAAACCACTGAAGTACAGTAGAAAACTCCTTCAGCCTAAGTATAAACATAATGCTGTTAGCGTGGTTCAAGATCTACAGAGAAAAATAATCTTACATCTGATCTAATTGTTCTTTGAGAACATTAGCAATTAACAGCAGAACAAGAAATGTTGAGTTTAACTGAGACACAGTCCAACAATCCAAATCATTCTAATGTCTTTAAAGCAGGTAAATATATATATATATATATATACTGTATATACGTGCATTGTGGCTGTTTATATAATGTGTTTTGTAAGAACACGTAGCAGCAAGATGAAGCGCCAGTGGAAGCTGAAATGTTCATTACACCACACTGCTGTAGGAGGAAAACTCAATCTACCAGCAGAGGGGCTGGAAATGGAAAGTGTGCCCTGAGGGTGATGCTAAAGAAAAGGCCATGGAATCACTACAATCACAAGAATTTATCCCCTTGGAAGCATAAATGTGCTCTATAAATTTCATAGCACTCTGGCTGTTACATCTCAAAGTTTTGGCCTGAGGGTGGTGCAAGAGGGTAGCTCTTTGAGTGTTCGCAATAGAAAAGACTCATCCTCCAGGGCAGTGTTTCACAACCTATTGGCTTTATGACCCTTTAAAACAAATCAGTGTCTATTTAGGACCCTTCGTTACAAGTCACAGCCTTAGTTTTTGCTGTGAGCTATTTGACCAGAGCAGTTTTGATTTTCCTTCTTAGATTATTTCATCAGAGCTTTAAGAGCTCTGATAAAGTGGAGATTACTCCTCATGTGGAGTTATGTGGGTGTAGGATCCATGATACATAGTCTATACTTTCAGTTTTGATTTCTCTGGTGGTGGTGTCCGGAGTGAAAGCTTGGCCCAGTGATGGACATGGGAAAAGGTCAAGGGATCACCAAAAAACATTGTGAATCATCATCTGGGGATC